GCTGAACCATTAGCAGAGTGTGCAGATTATTAATTGCCATAAAAGCCACTTACAATGCATTTGATATCTGTATTGTTAAAGTGTCCACTCTGGTCAAAGTAAAATGGCTCAGCTGGATTTTCTCCTCCCCAGAGTGAGACTGGAAAGCATCTGATATGAATGTCAGCAAACTAAATACTTCCCCTCCTTACTGAAATTCCCATGTGTATCAATGAGTCTTAACCTCAAAAAAGAGTTTAGGATCTGGATAACAAACTTGGAAATTCTCCTTTAGCCTAATTTAAAAGCAAAATAAAAAAATAGGGGAAAAGATGGTCTTTAACTTTAAAGGGATTTTTTTTTTGTATTGAGCTTTGGTCTAAGTGTCCTTTCCTAGAGATGATCTAAATTCATTCCTCATCAGAGAGGAAACTGCACCTCTATCAAGTAGAGATCATTGACAGATAGCAAATTAACCAACTGAAGCCTTATATTTTCAACATAAATCTAAAAGATTCAGTTCTTTGCAAAGAAAATATACAGAGAGCAGCTGCCAGAGCCGTAGCCTTAGCAACCACACCTGCTTCATACTCACGTCGGCTTTCATACATGCTCCTGGACTGGGCCCAGATTTTGAATGGATCTGGCTTTTTCTGCCCAGAACTGTCCGGTTGATCCGCAGCCGGTGCCTCCGCGGCGGTGTAATCCGGCAGCACCTGCGTGCTGTGAACGGGGGAAGCGGTGTGCCCACTGCGGTGGCTGGAGACGCTATGCTGAGAACTGTTTTGGCTGTCTTTCCTTTCAAGTGGTTGCTGTAAGGAAGAAAGCGAGTGGAAAGAGAGAGAACAGACGGTTATTGGTCTTTGAGTGGGTGTTTTCCATCAATTTTTCTCCCTTCTTTGATCAGGGTTTCTGCATGCACATAAATAAATATATAAATCACAGTTTTGCTGCCACCAGTTAATGCTCGGTACAGTTAAATTCCCCGATGACAGATTTTGATAGGCAGACTGACAGGAAGAGATATGCAAAACAAAGGTATTTATCATAAAAAAAGATGCATTTCTCCATCTCGCACATGAAACTAATCTAAACCTCATTATAGGTTACCAGTTTCAGTGCACTTATTTTTTCCTACATTAAGGTAGAAAAACTCAACAACATTCTACTCAGATACTCAGATAACTTCAGCCTGCAAGGGAAAAGAAAAAATACCAAATTTCACTGTGAAAAAACAGTCCCTTTGAAACAGATTCAAGCATAGCCTTACTATGCAAGATCACTTTTCCTCTGCAGCTCTTGCAACCCCCACATCACAAGTGGGTGGACAACAGAGTACCACTTTCATGTCTCTGCTTCCCAGAGCATCCACAGGATTACAGCAGACCTTCACAAATGTGAAAACGTCTATTTGCAGTTTGATTTCCTTGTTTTAATTGAGCATATTAAAACAGGAAAAATACGTCCGCCTAAATTCAAGGCTTATTCAAAACCAGTATGTCAAGAGCTCTGTCTGCTCGATATTTAGCTAAGCAGGGTACATAATTCTTAACTCAAATTCATAACGGTGTGCTCAAATGAAGCACAAGTCACATTTGCATTGCCAGGATTTGTACTACTCAATATGCAGCAAAATCCTCCCTCAACAAGAGCTCCCCAAACTGTACAGCAAATGCTTTTTAATGCTCTTTTGAGATGACCTTGGGTTGGCACCAAGGTGAACTCCAATCTCCCACCTGCTCCAGCACAGGGAACTGGCATGTTCCCAGGGCTGCTGTGACGCAGAGGGTGGCCAGAAAAACAGCATCCTACAGGTTGTTTTTACAACATCCACAATTTCCTGGCTAAAAGGGGTCAGCCACTTGTACCAAGAAACCTCAGACAAAAATTTAAAGCCTCCTGCTGGCAGGGGGTACCCAAAAACATTGCAACAGGAGTCTCTGCTCTTAGAGACATCTCTGTAGAAAACCATGCAGGGGTAGGGAGAAAAGCCAGCGGCAAACACAGAGCAGAGCAGCAAGGGGGGCTGAAGTGCACCCAGGTCTGGGGACCCCTCCTTTACTCTGAACACAAAACCCCAGGCGGCCAATGCTCCTTCATAGTAGGGCTGAATTAATTACAGAGGAGAAAGTCACCATACGACAGTGCCCTCTTTTTGCGTCTCAACAATAATCTTTTCCATTTTTTTAAAGTTGCACATATTTTTAGGTTTACACAGAGAAAAAAAACCAGTTCTAACAGTCCAAATGACTTCAGCCTTGCAGCCCTACATTCAAGTTGTTGATCCACTACCAGCATTTTTTAAAATGATGTCTCAATCGACTAAAATGTGCGAGTTGCCTTTGTCCTTTAAAGCAATTTTGAACAAACCATACCTGCTGTGACTACTCATCTGCAGACTTTCAAATACAAATATCTAAACCAATTTCAAACATTTTTAGCTTTTTAAGTGGTAAAAGAAGCTAATTCACATGCAGCCCTTCAGGTTTTAAATGAAGTCGTTTTAAAACATCTATGCTGTGGATAATCACTTCTTTGTAATTTAAAAATAAAAGAAAGAAAAAACACTTTACAACTCTCAGTCCAGCCATCTGGATTGTTTTGTTTGTTTGGCCAAACTACTAAAATAGCTACAAGCATCCTGTGAAACTTCAGGCCAATCTCACTGGAAATAGCTGGTTTATAGAAGTTGGAGTACAGGGACTAAAATGTGAAGCTTTTTCAGCCCTTGGGGAAATACTGAGAACTCTCTGAAAACTTTCTGATTTAAAAAGAAACAAAGTTTGAAGTTTAAAAAATGCTCTCACTTTATGATATGAAAGGTCTAAATATTGAACAAACTATGAATTCTGTTTCATATTTGGGTTGCAAATGGAAGCGTTAGCATATTTCAAGAAAAGCCACCTTTAATTAAACTACAGTTGCAATTGCAACTAGGGGAAAACTTTTTCAGAGGGACAGTTGTTTTTCCAAACAATAAATCCTTCAAAAAGCCTGAAGCATCAGTTTAGGAGTTGAAGAAGGGAACAGAGAAAGGGGAACACAACCATGGAAATAATGAATATGTGTAATTAAATTAATTCAAGACTCGACTTTTACATCAGCAGATGACACCAAAAAGGTTTGGGGCCAAACTGTTTTTCAGGTGCTATAGCAGCTTCAGCACATCATCGTCATCATCAGGACTTGCAGGGGCCTGC